ACTCTTCACACCTCTTTCACCGTCTTGGGCTGAGGCAAATTTATTATAGCCTCGACCTTTACTGGGTCAACAGCAATACCTGATCGGTTGACAACAAAACCCAATAATTTTAATTCCGGACGACAGAAATAACATTTATCCCTATTCAAAGTTAAGTTGGCAGCTTTGAGACGATCAAGCACCAGCTTTAAAACCTCAAAATTTTGCTCCAATGTAGGAGTGGCAATTATAATGTCATCGAGATTTTTCAATATAAACGGTTCTAATTCTGGACCGAACAAATTATCTACCAACCGTTGGAAAGTGGCTGGCGCATTATGCAAACCGAAAGGCATGCATCTAAACTGGAATAAACCTCGCGAGGGCACAAAAAACGCAGTATATTGACGAGAGTCGGCGTCTAACTACACCTGCCAATGTGCACTTTGAATGTCTAATGAGCTTGAGTATTTCGCAACACCAAGTTTTCGAAGAATATCATATATATAAGGTAATGGCCAAGCATCACGAAGAATGTGACGATTTAATTCACGGAAATCAACACAGAATCTCCAAGAATTGTCTGGTTTTGGAACTAATAATACAGGCGACGAGCAACCACTACTCGACTTTTCAACCATACCCAATTCCAACATCTTGTCTAACTCAGGGTTGATAATATCTTGGTAGGTTCAGTCGTTGTAACAACCTAACTCAGTGTTGTCAATGCTAGAAAAGTATCCATTTATGATTTGATTTAGTTTGTCCAAGTCATCTGGTGAGGGATTCTCATCTTCTAGTCGCAACCTATCGTCCCGACTATCCCATTGTCTTTCTACGAGTGAGTCGGGACGATAGGTTGCGACTAGAGGATGAGAATCCCCCACCTGATTCCAAATCGGTTTCAGCTTGTATTGAGTTCAATACTGGTTCATTTAATTCGACAGCAGAAAAATAACATTCCCCTTTGCGCATGTTCGGAAGAATTCCCATACGAATCCAAAAATCAATTCCCAGTACCAGTTTATGTCTCAATTTAGGAAAAATATACACATAAATGATTTTTACTAACGCTGATCATTGCGGCCATTGTCTTTAGGTCTGTAACCTTGCGGACTACAGTGAGGACAAGTGGTCTTCGTGAAGCCCTCTTTACCACTGGGACGACGTGATGTACCTGCATATGCCAAATCAGGCTCAAGTGACAAACTGGAAACATTTGGCGGCTTAAACTTATTGACTGATTCTCGAATTCCCTCATTTCTACGACACAATTCAATCAAATCAAACACAGTCTTAACCTCTGTTAAAGAAAGACGTTCCTGGAAGAAAGGTAAAATATTTTCACGCAGAACTCTCAATCTTAACGAATCTGCCACTGGAGTAGGCATCCTGTCAAACAAACTAGTCATTACTGCGACATACAACCCTATAGATTCAGTAGCTCCCTGATTACGTACAAGGATTTGTTGCCATAATTTATCTGCCAAAGGTACATATTCCTCCTTCATTAACCGAACCAACCCGTCCTAATCAGATACATGGCGCCTAAGGCAGTTATACATTCGCAAAGCATCACCCGTAAAAAGATCTCGAGCTGATGCAAACAGTTGTACTTTATCGACATTTCGGCTATGACAATGCTCCTCCACTTCTTCAAGAAAAGCGTTGAATGACTCTGTTGACGACCCTCAAAAACTTCACCTGCCATTTGTACACAGGTACACTCTTGTAGTTTACTTTACTAGAATTATGACAAGGAAACGCATTTGGACGCTCCTCAGAGGCGGAAGTATGCAGTATGTTGGAAAGGGACCGCGGTGATGAAGTTCCCAAGGGTTGTAAAGACTGACCACCCTCGGCAACTGGGCTTTCATGAAAGCGCAGATCAGTAGGCTCACCGGTATTATGATTGACCAATTCCAGAAATTGGACTTTGGATTTATAGTTGGCCGTCATTCGCAATAATTGTTTTAAACATAAAGTTTCTCTATCAGAGACTGTTCATCAGAACTAAGCCACTACAATATACTATAGACATGGCAAATCTTTGTCTCAATCTTCCTCTTCTGATTAACTGAACCCGAGAAAGTTTTAACTAGCGATTTTATCTGAGCAAGCTTAGCCTCTCATATCTCGAACTTCTCAGTGGCTACACCATCGAAACTACAACTCTGTACAAAAGAAGCATCCTTTTCAAACTTAAAGCGCTACGAAGAGTTTTCCTTAAAGCATCAATAGTTTCCGATTTGTCAATCCCCACACCACGAACAGTCAACGCTCGCATATAAGCCCTTGGAACCAACTCTCTATAAGCATCGAGATAATGATATGGTAATGTGCAACCAAGAACCATGTGTTTATTGGGCTGCAAAAGTAAGATAACTTACCAGTCACGTGGTCAAAATCCCTTACAAAAAGGTTTGTGGAAATCCAGAACTACACGTGCTACTAGCGGAACTTCACGGTTTATCTAGTAAACCAACGAACCAGACTTTACGTGGAAACTGCCGCCAAATTCCCTTACAAAGGCGAATCCCTTGGACTCAGGAAGGCTTAACAGCTTAAGACGACCATTCAGGCTGAAAGTTGGGACCGAAAAGACCGAGGGAAGAACGTGAAAGGTTCAATTTCCCCCCGAATGACAAACTGTAATGTCATGCCAAGAAGCAGAGATGACTCGTCTCTCTGGGTCGGTTGCCAAATTTCACAATAATTTCTAGATAAAATCTTTAAGTCCAAAAACCCAATATGAATCTTTAAAGTCTCAAATATTTGTTAACTTCCTCAGACATATTATAATTAACACCGTAAATTTCGATTCTTGCACAAAAACGAAGGAAAGTTTAGTGTTGCTATAGACGGATAGCAACAATCTTCTTGTGAACTACGCTAATGACTCTAATTAATTGGTGAATGCGATGAACCCTTAGAGCAGGTAAAGCGCCGTCCTACGGACATAAGGAGTAGGAATGCGCCATTCTGCTTAAAGAATGAACTAAAGTGAAGCCAAGTTTTTGGTAAGGCATTGAATTGAAATTGGAAAAAAACGGCTTCATTTTCCAACTCCATGTTACCACTCCTCTTTACCTTTATCTGCTCTAAGGATGAACCCTTTACTCCAAGCACCTGCGCGACATCCCAAGACCGCTAAATAAATGAAAACCGAAGTGTTCGGAGCGCAGAGCTGTTCAAGTGTCGAAAAATAATAAATCATAACCCACCAATTTATGGAAAGTAAACAGAGCACTGGGTCCCAATTTTTGATAAAGGTAAGTATTGAATATGGACCACGTTTCAAGAACAGCGACGCACACACGAGAGCAACAGAGCTCGGTTACTTTCACGACCAATACCTCCTGAAAGTTGACAAAGCTCTCAATCATATTTGATCCATCTTCATCTAGGTCTAGAGCCATCCTGTAACCTAAGAGATCAGCAATAAGAACTTGAATTATTTTCAATAAATTTATATTTCACGTCTATTTTGGTCTCTCAACTTTCAAATTAAACGAATAGGTAAATACCTACATTACACATTATTAAATGATTTACAGTCCATTTTATTTGATGCATCATCAGATAGTCAGAACAAACAACTGTATAATTTAGCAATTAAACAGCACATTGAGCGCCAACCTTTTGCTGTATAAATATTTAATATTTACCAACTGTTCCTTTATTGGTGGTTTAATATTTTGTTTAATACATAATATGAAAAACTATAAAGTTTTTTTATATACTAATTCAGGCTGAGAGTTTTCAAACATACCCTTAAACTAATTATTTCGTAAAAATATAATTTTTTTTTGTAAGCTTTCTCGTCTCTCTCAAAATAATTCTGCCGAGAAATTTAAGACTTTTATTAGCTTCATAATTTTAACTTCATTTTAAGATCCACTTTTTGTGCCATTTCGCGGACGTAATAATTCGATTACCATAATTTTGGAACAAATTGGCGAAAAATTCAGGCCGAGCCGTAGGATGAATATTTAATTATTGTTTTGCTGCTGAGTTCTTTTCTCTGGTTTAAAAATATCCAAAACCCCGATCATTCCACTCGACAAATAAATACGCCAGTTCGGAATCTCTACGCATATCGATTGGTAGTTGCAAAAGTTCGTAAAAGTAACCATTATTTTTTTAAGCTCCGATTTATTCAGAGGGGAAAGCAAGCAAAATATAAAACGATTGAAACAGGGAAAATGCCAAGAAGAAATCCGGTAGAAATCTGATTTCGGTTTGTTTACTCAAAGCTAATAAATAAGGGTTACGAGCTCGGTATTTTTATAATATTTTATATTCTCTCGTGTTGGGTGAGTTGTCGACGGGGATCGAGCTCGTTTAAATATCCCCGGAAGCAGATTCGAGTCTGGATAATGATGTTTTCTTTTGTTTAAAATGTACGGTTGTAAGGGAAACGTTTGTATTGTACCTTTGCCAAAGAAATATAATGAGTCACTTATACATATAACCTTACTTCAATGACCTATTAACAAAGATGGAGTCATTATGTTATTTATTAAATCTACTTTGTTGCGTTAACAGATTATTTTTTACTTCCGCCGGCTTGAGATATAAAAAAGTCAGTTTCGTTTAGTATTTCAAGACACCTCTCGGTATTCTTGCACCCTGGTGTAGCAATACCAGAACCAGTTATGAGGTTATTATTATATTCGAATTATTCTTAGAGCAGGGAAAGCGCTGTTCTACGGACATAAGGAGTAGGAACGCGCCATTCTGCTTAATAAACTAGTGAAGCCAAGTTTATGGCAGGTGTTTGGCACCAAAATACAGGTAAAGCATTAAATTGCCTATAACGCCATTTTTTTAGTTTACTTTACCTGCTCTAAGGAATTATTGAGTATGGTGGCGTGTACCTGTTTGAAACTCACCGTGATTGATTTACAGGTTAATATGACATTGATTTTCATCATCCACCTTCTCATCACCTTACCCACCTTCAGACAATGTCAACGAAATGACACCCGCCACGAAAAACTTTCAAAAATATCAGCGAAATGTCCAAGATTAGTGCGGCCACAGCTGCACTAGAACTCACCAAAATGGTGTTGATAATAGCAGCGAATACAACTTGCCGAATGGTGAGCGTCGGTAAATCTGAAATCGTGAAGCAGTACCAGGAATACCAACACCGTGGAACCCCTCAGCAACAAGAAGCCATAAAACTCTTCAGGGAAATGACCCTAAAGGGTATCGCAATGGCGAAACCTGGTCTAAAATCTGCCGTTGGAAAAATTGGAGAAGCCAAACAAAAAGTCGAACAAAAAGCTGCAGAAAAATCACCGTCTGACAAACCCAAGAAGTAAATTTTTGTATATTTTTTCATTGGTATGTTCTTTACACGAAAATATACCCTTTTTTTGATTTGAAAATTCAAATATTTTGTGTCTATGTATGTACAACTCGATTTAAATTCTCATGTCGATGCGCCCCGTAAAATTTTCCACGCGAATGAAACTTTCATACCGAATTCCAACAACTTGAATGGTCGGCGGCAATCCTACTGAACAATGCACGATATTGCTGCCCTTCTTCGCCCTCGGAGCCCCCGCGTTAGAAACGAAACCTCACAATGGAACTTTCGGTCTGGTCCGTGATAGAATTTCAATATGATGACCTTTCTGTCTGTTTACAGGACTTTGGCCGTGTATGGGTAATAGGTAATGGGACATCGGGATGGATTTGAAGTTGGTCTAATGAATGATGCACCTACTATTTAGCAATTTGCGGGTAGTGTATTGTCATTATTCTCTCAGTTGTTGAATAATTTATTACATTTGAGGTTTATCTATCCAGAATTTAATAAATTGAGGGAAGCATTACTATGAATGTACAATCCGAAATTTGGAGAACAATGCAGAGATATATGGATATCAGAAAAACAATTCTGATTTTATAGGCTAGTAGTTCTAGGAAAGGAAAATTGTATTTGCAATGACAATTCAAATTGGGTAAGCTTTAGATTCTCGGACCATAGATAGATAGATAGATAGATAGATAGGTACATCGCCGATTATATGAATTTTAAGTGCAAGCGGAGTATTTTCAGGTAGAAATGAAATTGTTGAAGCATTTTACTTTGAAATAATGAAGAGAATAAACCGCTCGTAAAAATACAGAAATATAAGTTTTGAAAGGGTAGATAGCTCTCAAGAAGATAATAATTTAACTTTTGTTTATAATTATGTTTCATTTCTAAGAATTTACATGCTATTTATTCAGTTGAATCAAGGACCTGATTCTCTTCTATTCACAAACCCTATAATTTATGAGACTTTAGTAACATTTATTTCGTTTTGTGGTGATCTTGTGTGGACGATGATGTTTTCTAACCTACAGTCTTGAATCTGAGGATATGTTAATAATATCCACAATATTCACATCTCTTTGGTATCTTTTCTCTGAATTGGTGTTGGTTGCATTGAGATGCTTTCGAATATTCTTCGGTCCGTTTTTTTCGTTAAACCAGGTTCGTACACATCAACAGCAATGACGTAACCCACTTAATTTTTTCGAAAGAAATGTCAAAGTTTGAATATTGTCTTCTGGACAGCCCCCATTCCGGTTTCTTGGAAAATTGACTTTGCTTTTGGCTTTGGACTGGGTAGCGACTTATCCCTTTCCATAACTAAATAACTTTAGAGAGGTTTTTTGAGTTTTTGCCGTGGAATTCATCTTCAGAATTTACTTGATTGTGGTCACTAGTCGATATCGTGGACGGTAAGTCTTGGCAATCTGCTTCGCTATTATGTGGAGGGAATGGTGTGAGGTCTAGGATGGCTTCCAGTGCCGCGGTTGGGCATGATCCCATTGCTCGTTTTATACAGAGACACGCGAGTTTTTCCACTTTGTTACGATTAACTTATCATTTTCGTAACATGTTCCATTTCTTCTAATTTTCATTATAAAGTTGTATTTTTGCCATTTCAGAATCAGCCAAATAATCATATATTATATCACAAGACCTTTAAATTTAATCGATTAAACTATCCAACATATTTTGAGCATGATTTTGCTTGGAAAATAGTTGAATGCACAATAACTTAATAAAAGCCCGAGACCGCGAAGCGGTCGAGGGCTTTTATTTAAAAGTTATTGTGCATGAAACTATTTGCCAAAAAGGAAAATTATGCAAAAAATATTTGGATAGTTTAATCCATTTAAATTTATAGGTCGAGTGGTATACGGCTAGATTATTTCCTGAATAATTAGGACTTAATTATTGGCGTCAATCCTATCCAAAGAGTTCTATTTATTATAAAATGTCAGAATATTTCTATCAAAATTCTGTCAAAAAAGGTAAACAAAAATTTAATCGCTGATAAACAAGGTCTTGTGAAATAATCACTTATTTAAACAAAATTCATTCAAAAAATGACGTTGTCTGATAGGTCTATTTTATAATGAATGAAATAATCATTCATAACTAAAATAATTTATAAGTATCTACAAAATTTAATTAATTCAATTGTGTGTCCCTTTTGATCAGCGTGGTAATTCATTGATGAAGTGAAAACTGTCTTTAGTATGTGTAGTGTGCTGTCTTCTGATTGATTGGATGTGGTTACTACGCAGTTAAGTATAAAAAATACGAAACTCGTTTTCCTGCAGGGTTCTTGTTCTAAAACAGTCTCTTTCCTAGCAGAACCACTAAACGGGCAAGTTGATTTTAACTTTATAAGTTTTTTTTTTCAGATTTCTAGATTTTCCCTTAATATTTTTCAATTTATTTTACCATCAGTGTCATCATATCACTGTTGAGTTTTTACCTGATAAATCTTATCTTATCTAACTTTAGAATATAAATATTATCTTTTATTTTTTATCTAATTGTGTGCTTCCATTTTGTGTTTGGTGGTCCCACGTTTTTCTGAAGTGAGTCAATTCAGAGTTTTGGCTAATAAATAAGTACTGCTGCTCTGGTTTTCGGAATCACTTGTTAGTGTGGGATTATTGGACCATTTGCTCTAAAGAGTCGATGCAAACCAAACTTGTGCGTCCATCCCTATCAACTCAGTTAGAGCCCTGTATAGCGGTTTTCTGTTTGACTCCTTCAATTATCTTCTCGACCAAGAAGAAGGTTGAAATTTTAAAATAAAAATCCCGATAGGTCAAAAATTCATTTAAAAACGTTTTTAATTAATGTTGGTCCACTCATTATCAACAAAACATTACACACTCTCAACCAAATGATGCAAGAGAACTACTCAACGACCCTGTCTCTCACTCTTCATTGGCTATAGGTAATGAAATTCTTCTAGCCACTGCCTTAGTTACAGTTTACTCCAAGAATAATGTTCCTATGCTCGTGCTTTGATTGACAATGGAAGTCAAATATCTTCCATTACTCAAGAACTCGTTGTTAAACTGGGATATGTACATTTTGAAATTTTGGAAGAAGGAATAATAAGATTTGGAAAAGGATTCCCTGTGCTGCAAAATACCCAGCTGGGCTATATTATTTCTGGTCGCGTACCTTCAAACTTTGTCTCTCCTCTGGAATGTTATCAGGTGAGTGTTTCTACTCATAACGCCAACCAAGCCCCAGAGTTTCATTGTACACTCAATTAATAACAGTTAATGAGTCATCTCTCGACAATATGTTACAGAAGTTTTGGCAGTTGGGAAGAACTGCCAGAAAATGATACAGTGAGTTTGTGCGATGCCCAAGCTGGAGCGATTTTCAAGAGAACTACTAAAAGTCTTCCAGATGGCAGACTTCAAGTCAACTTAACTTTAGTATCCCCTGACGCGCATTTAAAGCTAGGTAATTCTTCTCAACTAGCAAAAAGGAGGTTTCTGAGCCTGAAAAAAAGACTCAAGCAGTGTTGCCAACTGATGGAATGTGAAAATACCTAGATTTGAAAAAAAAATATCCCTAGAACTCCCCAGATTTTTTTTTTCAAATTCATTTAAGAATTATTATAACAGCCTAATAATAATTGTAATATGTGATGTATACTTGCAATTTACAAGAAAAAAAAATCATATTTTCAAAACTAATCGCAATAAGCCCAGTACTAACAGCGAAATTCCATTTTTTTGACATTGCTTTGACAATTTGACGTTTTATGCGTGTATCAAACGTCAAATTGTCGAAGCAATGTTAAAAAAAAGAATTTCGCAGTTATGAGTACTAGGCTATAATCCTCAAGTTTTTAAAAAACAACATAGAATTTCCAAAAGCAATAAAACATCGTTATGACATCACTAGTGGGGTGGCGACAGTAGCTTTGTTTTGGGTCAAAATTTGGAACGGTCCTGGGATTGCGCAGAACTGCTTGCGCACAAAAAATAATTGAGGACTGTTCTAATACGCGTTTTATAATATGCGCATGTTGCAGAATGATGCCGAACTAGTTCTGAGTGAAACCAAAACAAAGCTAGTGACGACAGACTTAACAACTGTCTTCTGATTCGATGCGATTATTGCGGGAATCCCCACAATAATCACGTTACAGTGTTACACGAAAGACAAAGAGCACTTCACAACATACAAAAATGATACTGTTGTATGTTGTATGTAATAAGTCACTCTCAGACGAACCAATAATAAGGTCACTTTCCATTTTTTTAAAAATATATAATATTATATATTATACATATATTCATTTTTATAGAATTTATTAAATTGTATAAGAAAAATTAAAAATATCAGAAAACCCCCTAGAATTTCCCTATATCCCTAGACAATTTTTTTTTGCATATTTATCCCTAGAACTAGGCACAAATCCCTAGAGTTGGCATCACTAGACTCAAGTCTCAGGAAGATTTATATGCCCAGTACAGAGATTTTATAAACGAATATGTCTCATTAAATGATGCGAGATATATACCCTTTTCACTATACAATGATTTTTCTGAAAATCGGTACTGTCTGCTCCATCACTGTGTCCTGCGAGAGCAAAGTTGAGAGTCGTCTTTGACGCCTCAATGAAAACGTCCTCCGGGTTGTCGCTTAATGATGTTCTCCTAAAGGGTTATACTACTCAACTGGATCTTTTCGACATACTTATTCATTTTAGACTGTTTCGATACGCATTTACCTCAGATATGCAAAAGATGTTCAGACAAATTCGTATTAACCCTGAGCAAACCTTCTTGTTGAACATTCTATGGATTAATAGCCCAGAGTAAGACTTAAAAATTATCGAGTTACAAACCGTAACCTACGGAACTAATTGTGCCCCATTTCTAAGCACAAGATGTCTATTGGAACTTGCATTATCTCATAAAGATTCGAATCCTCTTGCAAATGATGCCATTCTCAATAATTTTTGCTACGTAGATGACTCAACTTGTTACG